CAATTTTGAAAACCCTTGGGACGAGGGCTTAATTCACAAACTTCTATCAAGGCTACCTAAACCACTGAGTACCTACTCCAATACTTTTGAATGGAAATCCAGTCTTCCTCCTATCAAACTGAAGACTGAACTTATACTGGGTAAGAATTGCCATTTCGACATATTGATTGCATTCTAAGAATTGCTTTTGATAAACAGGCCTGTTAAAATAATTTTAGATTTTTTTAATATATTTATTCAGAAAAACTTCCAAAACTGACTCCCAGATTGTTTAAAGAATTGAAGGTTCAACACTAGACCCATTTAAGAATTTCCATATTTGGATGTTATCTGCCTCTCTGAGAGGGAACTAGTAAAGTGCTTGGCATGGAATTCCAAGGCTTATATGAAACAATAGTCCTGTTTCAACCTAGTTGCTGTTTTCTAGTAATTGCAGCATGACTTAAATGTTACTGTTCCCACTGATGGGATTTACATTCCATTCTGACTGCTCACCTGCATCTGTAGGCAAGCAGCAGACACTACCAGATTGGTCAGCATAATATACCCTCTCTCCATACCCGCTTATCATTACTTTGAGGTCTGATGTGGAACTGTCAGATGGTGCTGTTACCATGGAAGCAGCGATAAACAATGACTCCAATACTTTACAATGACCACTTTAAAATGTGTGTACTTGTTTCTGTTAGTGTCATTCCTGTATTATTTCCAGGCTTAAAATTGGATTTCATTGTGCCTCCAAAGCATCAGAAAAATCTCAGTGGTAAAAACAAATCTGGTAATAAATGTGTACAGCAGGGGTCTCCAGCCTTTTTGAGCAAGAGATCACTTAAGTGCAGTCCAAGATCTACCTGAAACCCAAATACCCTGGCCCCGCCTCCTTTGTGCCTCTTTTCCGAGGCCACGACCCTGCTCACTCCATCCTCCCTTGCTTTCACCAGGCAGGGCCAGTGGGTTGGGGTGCAGTCTCTGGTCTTGGATTAAGGGATTTGGAGTGTGAGAGGGGCTCTGAGCTAAGTTTGGGGCAGGCAGTTAGGGTGCTGGAGGGGGTTCTAGGTGCAGGCTCTGGGAGGGTGTTTGGCTGCAGGGGTGCTCAGCACTAGGGCAGGGGCTTGGGGTGCAAGAGGGGGTTTGTGACTGTGGCAGGGTTTCAGGATGTGGGCTCCAGCTGGACACTGCTTATCTCAGGCTGCTCCTGGGTGGGGCTAAGTCAGGCTCACCCCTGCCCTGGCCCTGCACCACTCCCAAAAGCAGCCAGCAAACTCCCTCCATCCCAAGCCCTGTTGTTCCCTCTCTCTGCTCTGTGGACATCAATGCTCCTCTTCTCCCTCCCCTGCCCTGCACAGCAAGCAGGAGGCTTCCGGGAGGGAGGGGGGCACAGCTCCAAGGCAAAGGGCAGGAGATGTGGAGCAGTAGGGGGAAGGCGCAGCTGAAGTGCCTGCGCTTGATAACAGCCTCATGGCCAAACCAGTCAGGGTGACCTGTCAGAGACTCCAAGTTCTACAAGTAGATCCCGATCGACTTGTTGGTGACCACTGGTGTACAGGATCTTTGAAATGTAATAGCATTGGTGACATTTCTCGTCCATTTCATTACCTTGCTCATTGCTTTGATCTCTGTGGAGAATGTGTGGCTTACTACCGTGTTCATTGCCTTTGCACTTACACAGAGAAGATTGTTCTGACTACAGACGTAATTGATTGTGCAGTGACCCTTCTGGTACAGGAACAAATTAGGTTTTGTAGAAACTCCGAAGGCATTGGGCCTTGAAGAATACAGGAAGTAGTTTGTCATCTACACTTTTCCGTCCTTGTTGCAATAGTGATCCAATATCAGGTTTCACATGTGAAGACATCCACATCTTTATTTTTCAATTTGCTTTTTTGACATGCTCGTCAAAACGGCCTTTGCGTGGTGGAAATTTGGCCAGTGACTTGTCTTTGGTGATGGATTGATTGTGGTGCAAACAATTCAGGTCTCTGTGGGTCTCTTTTTCCTTCTCAGTCTGACCATACAGCACTGCTACCAGTGTTCCCTGTAAGCTGTGCAAATGTGTGGCTGCTCACAAGAGAGTCAGATGCCGCCCAGTTAGTTAATAAAGTGCCGACAGCTAGGTTTTGTTTCTACTGGTGGTGCACATTTGCACGTGCCTTGGTGCGCATAAAAATTGTTCTGCACATGGATTGAAAAAAATCCACACATGTATGGAATAGAGTAGAGGGAACATTGATTGCTACCAACTTCCTTGCTGCAGAAATTGCAGTTTGTCCATCACTCCCAATTTGCCAAGATCTCTGACGTAGTAAGCTCCCTTTGTTTTGACAGCATATTAAATATAGGTATTTTTCCCCTATACCCAACTAGGGATTACACAGTCATACCCTGTTCATGTGAGTACAGGAGGAATTGTGTTGCAGAAGTCATGAGGGATTACATCACAAATTGAATGTGTTGATATGAAACGATGCTTGTCCACTGGGCGGCTAATGGTGTGTGTTTTCAATCCATGTGTTCTTTATATGTTCTGGTTTTTGGAAAGTTATGAACAGTGAGGATCAGAATATCAGGCGACCTAATTATTATGGTGTCTTTGACATCAAGAGACCCCAAAGCCTTACTGAGGCACACAGTATGGAGAAGCACTCTTGTAGCTGTTTCCTCTCAAGTACTGTACTTCTTCGATGCCTGTTCTGGGGATGAAACAAAAGATAGGACTATATGCAGCACTTTAAAGACTAACGATGGTTTATTAGGTGATGAGCTTTCGTGGGCCAGACCCACTTCCTCGAATCAAATTGTGGAAGAAAATTGTCATGACCATATATACCAAAGGGATACAATAAAAAAAAGTGAACACACACAAAATTGAGAAATCAGAATTTAGAACAGAGGAAGGGTGAGGGCGGGAGGTTAGTGTCTATGAGATAATGATATTAGGGGTGATAATTGTGGAAACCTTACCCATTACAAAGATAGCGTCTTTGGCACAGTGACATTTCAATGTTTCTGGAACTGGAAAAAATGAGACTTGTTTAGGATACAATTGTTTCAGCTTGCTTACAGCCCCCTTTGATAGCTCCACATCATACCTCCTCTATACATACATAAAATAAGCTTGCAAATGATCTATGATGTGGGTGTGTTTGTATGTACTAAACTCCAAAGTTATGGCCCTTTCTGGAGACAATTGCCACATGCCTATTAGAAAGTATTGTTGTGATTTCAACAAGAGGGTTCCATGGAGTTTCTAAACTCATTGACCTGTTTGTGACACAGCATGAGGTGCACTGAGAAGGACAGTAAAGGTATTTGTAACACACCAAAGCACTAACTTACAATGCTTCTGTAATATGCTCGGCCAGTTCATTCTGTCCAGAGAGCTTTGCTGGAGAGGAAGCTTTGTAAATAACAGCACTGGTTAATCTATTGTATCTTTCAACTCCTTCCTAAACTGCCACAGGTCCTAAATCGTTCCATGTGGACTGTTTACTTGGAGAAGGGGCTTTTGCACATGTCTATCAGGCTTCTGTCCTGGACACACACAACCCTAAAAATAACCAGAAAGTAATATTAAAGGTAAGTGGCTTTGGTTGTGAATAGCTTGTCATATAACTTACAGGGGCTTCACTGAGGTTTCTTAGTAGTTCAACCAGTAGAAATCAGGCGAAAATGAAACCATTGTTCTATTCTTGGACCCCCTGTTTGGCAGGGTATGCCCAGGTACGCTTAGCAGCAATAGTGGCCTTTCACCAGCAGGAAGAAGTGTGTTCCATGAAGAGATTTCTCAAAGGCATAACCGCCCTTTTTCCCCAGCCTGACTTCCTACCCACAGTGGGATCTCAGCCTAGTGTGAGAAGAACTGGCTAGACTGCCATTTGAACCCATGGCCACTTGTTCTTGAGCTCGCCTTTCCGTGAAGACAGTGTTCCAGATCACCATCACCTCAGGGCAGTCAGTGTGGAGAGCAGCTCTGACAGCACGTCTCCCTGCATAGCATTCTTGCCTGGCAAAGTCACGCTTGGACCAGCGTACTCACCCTCCACCCTTTCATCCCAGACCCACCAGGATAATGGGGGAGCCATCCTCCATACGCTTGATCTAAGGCAGGGGCGGGCAATCATTTTTGACAGGGGGGCCACTCCAAGAATTTGGTAAGTGGTAAAGGGCCACGCTCTGCCATAGTATTAATGGAGGAGGTGCAGGGTCTAACGTGGAGGTTGGGTGAAGGAGGGGGTTGTGACCTGGAGTGGGGGACTGAGGTGCAGGAAGGGGTGCAAGATCTGGGAGGAGGCATGGGTGTAGGAGAAGATTCTGACCTGGAGGAGGGATTTAGGAGTCTCTGGGAGGGGCTTGTGACCTGGGGCAGGGGTGCAGGAGGGAGAGCAGGGATTTGGCTTGTGACCTAAGGAGGAGATTGGAGTGCAGAGGGTATGGTGCAGGAGTGGGAGTGCAAGGGGGTTGCGTTGTGACTGGGGCAGCGGTATAGGGTGGGCAGCAGAGGTTTGGGTGGAAAGAGGGAGTGGGATACCAGGTGCAGGCTCTGGCCGGGAAGTACGTAGTTTACTCAGCTCCCAACCAATAGCCCAGTGGGAGCCTCAGGCAGGCTCCTTGCCTGCTGGACCCTCACATGCCGCTCAGAGCATTTGGCTGCAGAGGCCACATGCTCTGTGTGCAGTGCACCCCGGGGAGAGGGGTTCCTATGCTGCCCAGCCAAGTGGCTCCCATTGGCTGATTTCCCAGCAGTATGAGGTGTGCAGCAAGCCTGTAGCCAGCTGCTTTGAGCAGCATGAGAAGGCCATGGTGGTGAGCCAGATCCAGCCCATGGGACATATTTTGCCTGACCCTCACATAAGGAGACCGAGGCCTTCTACGTGCACAGCACAAGAGTTTGTAGAAAATGAGAGACTTTTCTCTATTGCAGATAGGTCTAAAGACAGCAATTTCAGCTCAAAGACTCTCCGAATAGGTCGCAAACTGTAGCACACTGGCCACATTCACAATTTGGTACCTTCATCAACAATCTGCACACTGCATGGTCGGTTTCCATTCCATCGCCTTTTTCAAGGGTATCCCTATTGCTGAAATCTGCAGCGCAGGTCCCTTGGCGTCTTCACGCCCTTTTGCTGAACACTGTCATGCTGGAAGACTCTGCTGCAGATGCCAGATTTGGCACCGTGATTCTGTCGTCTGTAACAGAGTCCGAAGCCCCAGCCTTTGATGGGGACGTGCTGCTCAAGAATCACCTGTAATGGAGCACCATAGGGCTACTATTCAAAGAAATTAATGGTTCTTCAAGGGTTTGTTCACATCAGTTCTAACCAGGTGTGTGCACACGGTAACTAAGATTTTTCCAATAGCAGCATCCGTCAGGTCAGCCTTGGCGTCCCCGGAGTCACGCCTTCATGGCGCTGAATGTAGAACCATGCCAGCCTGCCAGCCCCTCAGCTCCTTCTTAGCATCTGTGACAACAGCTGGAACTTCTTGCTCTCACTCCAGCAAGCACCATTAGCAGTGTCCCGCTGTACTTTGTATGTAAGTAATTGTTAGTAAGTTTAGGTAGTGTCCTTAAGTCTTAGTTAGGGTTACCACCTTCATACTTTCCCCTCCCCATCACTGGGCCATGCCTCGGTCCCAAGGGTTCAAAGCTTGCCCAGACTGCAGTAAGCTTGTGCCAAAAAGGGACCTTCCCATTGCTTGTCTAAAATGCCTTGGAGAGAGTCATCAAAGGATGTGTGCCACATCTACAAAAGCTTTCCACCATGGACATTCAGGATTGTGAGCCAAGGCCTAGGATCCTGCTCACGGAGACAGCCCTACACCTTCAATCCAACCCAGAATCCGCCGATCCAACGCACAGCCCCTACTTAGCGCAAAGCACGCCAGTGCCTGGGACGGAGCCAAGGCCTACTAGCAAAGACATAGTGCAAACAGAAGTTTGGCATGCGCTGATTCTCATCCCCAGTGCCCCAGAACAGGAAGTCAGGAGAGAGGGCAGTCTCCCACTCCCCAGCTTAGGGATGCAGTGGCAGGGAGGCCCCAGTTCCCCCATCCCGTCTCGAGTATAGTAGCTCCCAGGGGCTAGTTGACTTGTCCCGCAAGGGGTCTAGTAGAGTCCAGCCCGTTACTGCTTCCCAATTTGTCATGACAGGGATATTCAGCTTCTCTCCACCCCGGAGATTTTTGAGGCAGCACAGTACTTGATCCGCATAATGGCACTGCCTTCTCTGAGGAGAGACGTGCCGGTAGTGGCCAGGCCACCTGTTCCATCTCATGGCAGGCCTGTGATGATGTTGCACCATTCTCCATTGCTGGCGCGTTCCTCCCCGGCACTGGATGTTCATGTCAGCAAACCGCAACGGTCCCCGAAGCTTTGCTGCCCTTTGGCACTACCCAGCACTGCTCTTCCACAGTCTTCTGCGCTTGGAGACTTTGGAAAGCAACCTTTGTTCTTACAACTCCGAGAGGTCAATTAGCAGGAGCTCAAGATCGCATTGTCACCATCCTCGTGCAGGGCAGTGATCTCCTCCATGAAACCCCACCCAGTCAGCTTGTTGGACCCCATGGGCATATGATAAAGCTCAGGCCAGCCCAGGTCCTGGTTGGTATTGGTTGTGTCAATGCCAGACCATCTCATATTTACCACTTCTGCCACTAACTGCCTTGGCACCATCCATCCTGGCCCTGGCTCCCATTGTAGGACAGCCTCAGTGACCTTCCGTATGGTCTCTTTGGCCTCTGCCATCCCCTCATTGGCTCCAGCAGAGCGGTATGCAGCCCTCGACTTGAGGGATGCATATTTTCATATCACGATCACTCAGCCCCACCGGAAGTACCTCAGGTTTGTGGTTAACAGTACCCACTACCGATTTACATCACTCCAGGAGGACACCACTACGGGAAAAATCTTCCAGCTACCATGCATGTGCGTGTGCAGTCGCCTGATTGAATGAATGAACAATACCTACGAAAGACAGCAGTTACAAGAAGGGAACTGTGTCTCCTATATGTGTCCCTTTGGCTTCACCACCACACACCCTCCTCTCCTTTAGTTCAGAACTGTAGTAGAGAGGGGACTGAGGAGGGTTTGCCTGAGGCGCTGGTTAGCCTCATGGCAGAGCACGGGAGGGAAAGGTGGGGTAGCGCATGCCAAACAGATGCTGCTACCAGAGTTCTGCAGTCAGCAGCACAGGGATGCAGACACACCTATGGTTGAGCCTCCTCTCGAAGAACCACTGTTACTGAACAAGGTGAGTAACTCCTTTGAGTGGCTGTAGAACTTACGCTCTGGGTAAGGAGAAAAGTTCCCAAGCATTCGGGTCACTGTAATGACATGGTAAGATGTTTCCATCTTTTCAATCTACTAGAGAAACACATTGGGTCCTATTATCATTTAATATGAAGTGTCTGGTTACAGGTGCAGAAGCCTGCAAACCCTTGGGAGTTCTACATTGCATCTCAGCTGATGGAGAGGCTGAAGCAAAGTGTGCGGCATCTTTACATCCAGTTTTATTCTGCTCACTTCTTCCAAAACGGAAGCATATTAGTTGGTGAGCTGTACAGCTATGGAACTTTACTGGTAGGTGCTGAAGACTTGAAGTCTGAAGAGGTGTATTTGTAACCTGTTAGGAATATGTTGCAATGCATTCTTCTGCCCTTTACAGAAACGTTTGTTAGTTTATTTTCTAATGCTCTGTTTTGCGAATATGGAGCTATAATGAATGTTGTGTACAATTATCTTGTGGTGTAGTAAACATTCTCATTCTCTCTTCCTCTTCCCTGCCTCTTTCTTTGTAGAATACCATAAATATTTATAAAAAGCTTCCTGAAAAAGTGATGCCTCAAGCACTAGTAATCTATTTTGCTGTTAAAATTCTGCACATGGTGGAAGAGCTCCACAACTGTAGAATCATTCATGGTGACGTTAAACCTGATAACTTCATCCTTGGAGAACGGCAAGTATTTCTCCTTAGCACCAAAGCTGCTATCTTTTTGTACTGTGGTGTTAATAATTGTGTCAACAATTTACTCACTTGATTGTAGGCTTTTGGATAATGACACCTGTGACATAGACAGTCTGTCTCATGGCCTCACAGTTATTGACTTGGGTCAAAGTATAGACCTGAAACTCTTTCCTGAAGGAACTGCGTTTGCAGGAAAGTGCGAGACGTCTGGATTTCAGTGTATCGAAATGCTGACGCAGAAACCATGGAACTACCAGGTATGAGATTTACATAGCTGTAGAAATCTGAGAATTTTGAGCCCCAGTCCAGAAAGGTACTTAGGCTACTAAATCCCAGGTTTAGGCTCACTGAAATCTGCAAAACCCCTGCAGGCAACTAAACTCACTCAGTTCTAAGTTTCTGCCTCTGAAACTTCTACCCCATTATAGGTGTCAGGATGCCTGTCTCCTGCCTGTATCTGAGAGTGACCCACAAATGGGGGAAGACAGGCAGATGAATGTTTCTTGTGTGCTGGGCCCAACCCATTAAGCATGATTGGAGTCTGCCTTCCAGATCAGGACCCATTAAAATCTGGCCACTTTGATCAGTGGGTTGGGACACTCACCTGAGCTATGGAAGACCCAGGTTCAGTCCTCCTCCTGCAGGCTGAGACGGAAAAGGATTAGATCTGTGTCTCTCATATCCCAGTAATTGCGTTAAATCATTCATCTAGACTTGTTCACAATAGCTGCCTCTCTTTATTTAGACGGATTACTTTGGAATCGCTGGGACAGTGTACTGCATGCTCTTCGGCACCTACATGAGAGTAAAAAATGAAGGCGGGCTCTGGAAACCTGAGGGGGTCTTCAGAAGGTTGGTCTCACTGCACCTTTAAAGGGAACTCCCCAGCAGAACCTTTTTATAAAATCAGCAAGGAATCTGATGGCACTTTAAAGCCTAACAAATATATGGGGTGTTAGAACATGAGCTTTCATGAGCTGCACCTCACTTCTCGGGTGCTGAAGAGATAAGGGAAAGGAAAAGAAAAGGAAGATACAGAGCTGGGAGTGTGTGCATATGAAATCAGAATGGATGTGACTGACCTCCAACAGTGGGGAGAAGGTGAGAGTGCCTGAATGGGAAATTCACATAGTAATTACCATCTCACCACTATCGGATATTAGCTACAGCCAGTCTGTTTTATTAGAACTACTGTCACACTCCCAACTCTGGATCTTTATTCTTTTTCTTTCTGTCTTTTTTCTCTTCAGCATTTGAGGAAGTGAGTTGTAGCTCAGGAAAGCAAACTGTTTTTTCAGCAATGGACGTGCCAGATTCCAAGAAGTTAAGGAACCTTTACAACAAATAGATTTAGCTTGTTTGACTGTCTCCTTTGTAACATGTTGCTTAGTTAAATTGCATGATCTTGTCTAGGTAAGCTCTACAACTGCCCCAGGCTGGAAGTCCCTGGGGCAATGCAAATATTGGCCTGTATAAGAAATGGGTGAGAGAGAGCTAGAAGAAAATTCAACTATATAGTCAAATACCATAACAGTATTTGCTGTAACCGGAATAAGTTTGCTGTACATGTCAACTGAAACTAAACATAGCGAGAACTGACTTGATATGTCGGCTCTGTAATGAAGTGCTGTTTTTTCTCTTCTAGGATTCCAAATGCGGAATTGTGGAATGAGTTCTTCTGCAGCCTCCTGAATATACCAGACTGCCATCACCTTCCATCTTTGGAAGCTTTGCGCAAAAAGCTACGAGACTTGTTCCAAAAGTCATACGCTAAGGAAATAAAGTTCCTCTGCAACAGGCTTGTGATTTTGCTCATGGAAAACAAACGTTCACGAAAGTAACCCTTGAATTTAAAGACTTCTGTTTCTCTTAATATAGAAAGAAGCTTTGTACGTATACTTTTTAAATGTCATGTCTTGTCTATTCTTTGCTATTGATCTTTGAGTAAACTTTATCCTGGACGACTTGAATATTTGCCTCTGCTGTCATGGAAAAAACTAATTTACACAAGCAATATAACTTTGAAAATCTCACCTGAATGCTTAAAGTTACTTTTGGCAGATTTCAGTGTGGGAGCTGCAGGTTTCCTGCAACAGTAGTAAAACCTCCATTGCTTTCCAAAACAATTTTTTTTCCCTAATACGAGGTATTATCCATAATGGTTACATCGTGCTGGGTCTATGATGCATAAAGATGAACTGATAACTAGACTGGAAGATGATGGCTGCTTAATGACCAGTTAGGTTCATTATGGGCATACGGAGGAAAGGCCCAGCCAGAAGGGACTATTGTGATCATCAGCTGACCTCCATATCGTAGGCTACAGCAGGGTTTCCCAAACTTTTTCAGACAGAGTCCCTACAGAATCCTGAAAATTTGGCAGAGCCCTTAAAATATTGTGATTTAAAAAAAATCAATAGATAACCAAATAAATAGACATAGTTTTGGAATTCTATTTTTATATCTTGCATATTTCTTACAAATTCTTTTTTTCAAGAAACTTCAGAAAATTAGTAACAAAATAATGGTCTTTGTTATTAAAGATACAGTTTTTTCTTATTTTAATGGGAAGAGTACTTTGGGGGTTTTTTTCTTTGCAAATCCATTTAATATGAGGAATGATGTTGAAAAACTGGATTCTTATAGTAGGGGTAGCATCAAGACAGTTCCTATGTTTTGTTTTTGTTTCAGCACAATACAAAAATCCAATTTCACATGAATATGTTGTAGCAAAGGAAAGGAGCTTACAAACTGCAAGTTTCACAAAATTTGGGTACTCTTAAATCAAGTTACTCCAAAATTAATTAGTGGAAGTTTGTTGAAATTTTGTTTGAGCTGGTAATCAGAAGTCATGTTGATCAGGCTCTCATAATCTTGAGTTGATAAACCAGTTGGCTTGGCCGTTATTAAAAATGGATTTCTCACCCAAGAATTGTTGTTTGTGAGAGGAAAGTAATCTAAAAGAGAGGAGCACAAGTCATGTAAGTGCTATACAAAGTCACTGCAAATATCTTCATCGAGAATGGATCTAGTTTCAGTCAAAAAGTCATTCAGTGTAGGAAAGCAGTCAATTCTTTTCTTCTACAGATGAAGCCCAAAATTCCAGTTTCTGCAATAGCAATGACATTTTTATCTGATGGTTCTGTAAGGTGCATAGATCTCAGCAGCCACAAGTAATTTCTCAAACAACCAGACAATTGATGTTTGTGATCTACGAAGTAAACTAATACTTCGTGACAAAGCTCTAAAAGTCTTATGAGCACTTTCCCTTACGACAGCAACCTCTCTTCCATATGCTGAAGGAGTGCTGTGTGCTGACTGCCCGTTTCTTCACACACAGATTGTAGGGGTCTAGTTTTTATACCATTAATAATTCACACTACCTCGTTCGGAACATTTTAAAGAGCTACAGACATCTTAATGGCAAGAACGTGTCTTTGGAGAATACAGTGACTGCTAGTGCAGTTTGGAGTCACATCCTTGATTCACGAGGCAGTTCTGTTCATTTTCCCAGCCATTGCCTTGGTGCCATCATTACACACACGACACATTTTTGCCCAACTAATTTCACGTAATGAAGTTGTTAATACACTTAAATATTTCTTCAGTCGTTTTGCTCTACAAGGATTTACATATTAGCAAGCCCTGCTCAATGGTTTTATCAAACATATAATGGCCAGACACAACTAACAGTGTGAGCCCCAACCTGTCAGTGAACTCATCCAGCTGCAATGACTACAAACCACAAAATCACAGTCAAGAAACTAGCTCTTTCTTAATGTCAGCAGCAAGATCTTGAATGTGACACACAACAGTATGGTTTGACAGTGGCACTGCTTCCACTTCTTTTACTACATTGCTCAGATGAGATTTTCTAAAATTGAAGGTGCTTCTCCAGTGAGTGCAATATGGTAGCTCGCTCTGGAGCAGTGGTCCCCAACCTTTTTAGGTTGTCGGGCGCCAGGGGGCGTGGCCGTTTGCCCGCTGGGCGCCAGGGGGCGGAGACCGGGGGCGCCCCCTCCCATCCACGCGCCCGGGGGCGGGGCCCCACCTAGCCGCGC